CTTTGTTATCTCACAAAAAGGAAACACGGAAAAAGTTCCAAAGAGATGATCTTTAATCATGCATTACTCATAGATTGTGGGTTCCACGGGTAAACAAGACTTTTGATTTTGATATATTATATCATATGATAATGGATCTCTGTAGTAGTACCATTTAGGTTAAGACCTAAAAGGTACAAAGTACGTACAAACCCTAACCACAACAATCTTATAGTACGTGGGTTAGAATATATATATCCATTTGTTATCATCATGCGACCAAAAAGAGGAAAAAAAAAAACTATGTACAATATATTACTTAAAGCGAGTTTCGTTATTTGGTGTGAAAACAGTACGTGTTTGGTATGTAGTCTCTTTCACCATATCTTTTAATTTCAAGTTTTCAACTGGCTACCACATAATACAGCAAATGTCTTAGCTTCTTTATCTACCAGCAGACTGCAGGGTACCCCCTGTACTGCGTAATTGATTTATAGTATGGTTGGTGAGATTTGTAAGTGTTTTAATTTTTTTGATATTATTTATATTTTATAAATAGAAAATTTTTTTTAAAAAATTTATATTTTTTTAATATTTTTAACTTTAAAAAGATATTAAACAATAAATTTTAAAAAATTTTAAACTTAAATTTACTTACTTTTTATTACTTTTAAAAATAATTTTAAATTTTATTTTTTAATAAAAACTTAAATTTATGACTCATAAATAATATTAAAAATAGTAAGAAACTCCACCAAACTCTTAATCCCAAACAGTTGAGATGGAAAGTTATAAACAACTTGCTATATGATGGTCAAAACTAATTAAAGCGTGTGACGGCTTCGTTTATTAGTACAGTGTTGTGGTGCGTTGTGTCAAAGTATACTTAACAAACATTCCATTCCCTAACGGAATTTTTTTTAATCGTTGATAAGTTACCCTTAAATTTTTAAAAAATATTAAATATAATACATAAATTTTTATTTTTTATAATATTTTATTTTTAAAATTTAAATTTTTTTATCAA